AGACACACCTAGTTTTTGGAGGAGGAAAACTAGAAAAAAAATATTCTGAATCTCAGAAGCCAGAACAGCAAGAGGGATCACTGCGCAGTGAAAGCAGCAATCCCTCTTGCTGTTCTGGCTCCTGGGATAGCTGCACAGCCGGCATTCGCTCCATAAGACGCACACACATTTCCCCTTGCTTTTTAGGAGGGAAAAAGTGAGTCTTATAGAGCAAAAAATATGGTATGTTATTGTTGTATACCACTCTGAGCACTGGCAGCAGTGCTGAGCCAGACATCAGAGCCCCTGGCACAGTTCACATGGGGGCCCCTGCTGCTGCTCCGCCCCACAACCCTCTGCTCTCTACAGTAGCAAGGCTACCACCCTGCTCTTCTTCCCCTGCCATCCCCCCATCCACTTGCTCTCTCTCTGTCCCATCTCTTATAAAGCACCCCCCAAGCACATTTCATTGCTTTTCTGCCGCCTCAACACCTGGTCTCTGGGGAAAGCCCATTAAGGGCTCTTCTTCAGAGCCAAGCCTGCTGAGGGAGAAGGCCGGGAGAAGGACTGTGCCATCACTGTGGTTTGCCAGGGCAGCTAGGATGGGTTGATCTTTTAAGAAGCTTTTTCAAAAAAATCCACATTAAAAAAATACTTTTTAGCCCCTATGGGAAACTGTGGCAGTGGTGCAGGTATTTGCCTGACTAGCTTGCCCTGGATGCCTGAGCAAGATGGTCCTGGGCCTTTTTCAGAGGCCAGGAAGGCAGTGGAGTGTTTGAGGGCCAAGGTGGATAGGAGCCAAGTTTGGCAGCATAGACAACCCTATACGCCTGACATCACAAAACAGAATACTAGACACCACCCATATTTTCTGCAAATTGCTTTGGCTTCCTTATGGAATTGGCTTCATATTGTTGGGAAGTACTGTGTTAACTGCATACCTGAACTTATTAGCAGGCTTAATATGACAGTTATGTGAGCTTTTTTGGGGGGGGAGGGGGTGTCAGTTGTGGGAATGGTTTGTTTCTGGCCTTCAGAAATGGCTCCCATAGTCAGCCCTGGAAGTGCAGCTACTGCAGAAGCCTGCCTGGTTTGCACCCCTCAAGCCCAAGGACCTCGTAGCAGAAGTGAGACCAGAGGAGCCCTTGTCCCATTGCCATTGGAGACTACAGGAGAGGGCTGGACCCCTTCAATTAAAGCAGCACCTTCCAGTTGGGGGGACAACACCGATTAACAAATAGGATGTTGCTGCTAGACATCTGAAGGCAGCCCTGTATAAGGAAGCTTTTTAAGGAATAATGTTGTTATATATGTTGGAAGCTGCCCAGAGTGCCTGGGGCAACTCAGTCAGATGGGTGGGGTACAAAAAAAAAGAATATTATTTCAGGTTTCAGGTTATTTCTTCGTGAAGCAACATCCGAGCTCTGTGCAGGCAAGGCATGGCCCAAACCATGCCTTGCCTCACCACAGAATAGGAAAACGAAACGGCTGTGACCCTAAATGCTTTGGTCATAGTGAAACTTTGGAAACTTGCACTCCCCCCACTCCTCTCCTCAGAATGGGTGATGTTAGCATTGCATCCCTTCCTCTGTTCCTTGAATCACAGTACAGTGGTGCCCCGCAAGACGAATGCCTCGCAAGACGGAAAACCCGCAAGACGAAAGGGTTTTCCGTTTGCGAGTTGCTTCGCAAGACGAATTTCCCTATGGGCTTGCTTCGCAAGAAGAAAGCCCATAGGGAAATCTCCGGGGACCTCTTTTAAATGCTAGCGGTGGGGAGCAAGGCCTTCCCCCCCCCTCCGGCCTTCAGAAGAGGTCCAGGAAGGCCGGCGGGGGCCGAAAGGCTTTGCTCCCCACCGCCAGCATTTTAAAAGCAGTCCGGGATAGCAGGGAAGCGCTTCCCGCTATCCCGGACGGCTTTTGAAGGCAGGCGGGGGGGAGCAAAGACTTTTGCCCCCCGCTGGCCTTCAGAAGAGGTCCTGGACCTCTTCTGAAGGCCGACGGGGGGCAAAAGTCTTTGCTCCCCCCTGATCTCAGCGCGCGCAGGCTTCGCATGCTGGCAACTCTCCGCAAGCAGCGGGAGCGCTCCCGCTGCTTGCGGAGAGGTCCGCGAAGCCTGGGCACGCTGATCTCAGCGCGCGCAGGCTTTGGCATGCTGGCAACTCTCCGCAAACAGCGGGAGCGCTCTCGCTGCTTGCGGAGAGGTCCGCGAAGCCTGTCCCGGACAGCTTTTGAAGGCAGGCGGGGGGGAGCAAAGACTTTCGCCGCCACCCCCCGCCTTCAGAAGAGGTCCTGGACCTCTTCTGAAGGCTGGCGGGGGGCAAAAGTCTTTGCTCCCCCCTGCCTGCCTTCCCGGGAGAGCGGAGAAACGCATAGCGTCCCGGGGTTTTTTAATCAGGGAAGTCCTCCGCTGTCCCGGGGTTTTTTAAAATGCTGGGGGTGGGAATAAAAGCCCTTGTCCCCCCCCCAGCCTTCAGAAGAGGTCGGGGGACAGACTGTCCCCGGACCTGGTCTGAAGGCGGTTTCCATAGGAACGCATTAATTGATTTTCAATGCATTCCTATGGAAAACTGTGCTTCGCAAGACGAAAAACTCGCAAGAAGAAAAAACTTGCGGAACGAATTAATTTCGTCTTGCGAGGCACCACTGTATCATATTATCATTGCCCTTCCATGGCCCAATTAACTCATGAGAGGATTGGTCCCAGTCCGGAGTCCCTGTAGATGAGGGCTGCCTCATCCTCGAACCCAGACCACGGCCACCCCATGGGCACCCAACTAGTGCCCGGGTGTCAACTTGCATGTTTCTGTTCTGGTTCTCATGAGCTCCATCTGGCCCCAAATGGAAGGGAGTAGCTTATACATGCCTTAAGCAGACTGCAATTAGATTTAATTGAAAATAATACTGTCATTAGGCTGTGTTTAGAAATAACTGAACCTAGTCCTATATTTCTCTTTATTGTGAGGTATCATATTTTAACTACAGTACAGCAAAAGTTCTTGGACACGGCTTCTGTCCAGTTCTGTTTTTGGGTTCAGGAGTAAGCTGTGTCCCCTCTGCTGAAATCTCTTTGCTGCCATGCAAATCCTGCCACGGCTCTCCTGGTAAAATCTCCTTGCATTGACCCCAAGAGCCCAATATACTTATTAATGTGCTGCTTCAGCAGCTGCATCATATCCAAGTGCAGGACTGGGAGGTTGTTTAGAAACCAGAACTAATTTTAGACTCATATTCTGGAATTTATTTATGTATTTCAAAATAACATTTTCCAGAGTATAATGCACTCTAATTATAGCCTGCAATAGCAAATAGCTCCTTATGCTGCACTCCTCAGGTAATGCATCTGAAGGAATTAGCTCATTATGCTAACTGGGATAAAGCCAGAGGAGATTATAAACTCTCTATAGAGCATGTCTTGAAAGGAATAGAAAAAGCAATGCAGTTGAGAAGTGAAGTGCCTATCTGCTCCCCACATAAAAATCCGCTTTGGATTTGGATTTTAATTATGATAAAATATGAGGTATAATACAGGTTTCTTGTTAAAGCTCTTTATTCAGATTTGAAAGCCATGTGGGGGGAAATTCCCTTTGATGTCAGGCTTCTTTGAGGTGTATCTTTTTAGAAAATATTTTTGTTATTTGCAGACACACATACAGTTGTGGCGTCCACTCTACTACTTTTCTCTGCTTATCTGTCTCTAGAGGTTTGCTTACCCCCTTTTAGGGGTGCAGCTGGTTTGCGGGACAGACAGTGCCCCCCTCCCAATGATGTAGAGCTGTGTGGCAGGGTCTGATCCCTGCCAGAGTGTGAGCTTTGGCTTGCGCTCCTGGCTTGAAATCCTGCTCTGCGCAGCCTGCCAAATTGGCCAATGTCAGGCTGGCACAAAGGTTGGGGGGGGGGCGCTAGAGGAAATAATCAGGCTTCCCTCAAATTTGCTCCCAGGGCATTTAAAGCAGCCCATGCCAGCCTTCGACACCCAGCTCTTCTTCGCTGGATTAACCCACCCACCCACTCCTGTAATTTTGCATTTACTCATTGAATTGACCTTTCTATGGCTGCGGTGGTCACCATATTTTCGGGGCCTGGCCTGGTAGGAATTTGCCTATCAGGCAAATTGGCTATGAGCTGGGTGTTTTGCCTACCTTGTAGCAATTGTCACAACTTTGGCAGTTTAGGCATTGGGTAACCTTAGCGTTGGTTGGAGAGGGGGTTGTACTCTCACTTTCCCCTCCAGAAATAGGGTATCCTGTTAAAGGGATCCATGGTGGAGTTGCTTCTGTCCATTTGCCCAGATGGGGGGCTTGGATCTCAATGCTCCTAGAGGTGGCAATCCCCCTATCTGATGTAAGTCATAGGAATCTCCACTGCCGGGTTCACTCTGATGTCATTTTCAGTAAGCCCAGAAATTAGAATGCTCACCCAATGTGTGTGCCAAACCACTTCATCCGCAGTCAGTTAAGTTGCAGCCTGATACATTCTTGGTGGCGGCGACGGGGGAGGGATGACACTATGAAAAATGCACAATGTAAAAACGCAGATCCCAGACTCTCCAAGTGGCCTGGGGGGAGTGGTGTGAGAAGGATTCTATGCGCCTTTTGATCTCAGCCTCCTCACACAACCCCAGCCCCCAAGCCATTTCGTGACACTGGGATCAGCTTGGGGCTGGTGTGTGGTGTCCCTTCAGTGGCAGGGGCTGGGCTGGCACATGGTGGGCTCCTTTTGCCCCCTGCACCTTGGGTATGGTTAAAGCATGCTCTGCCACTGCCCACATGCAATCACTGGAATCTCCAGTAAAAAGGGCTAGCAATGGCTGGGGAAACTCCTGGGAACCTGACAAAGTGCCATCAGTTGAGGAAGACAAGAGTGAACTGGATGGAGCAGTGATCTGACCCAGCAGCAAGACAGATCTACTGCAAAATAATACTGTGAAAATAAACTGGATTTTAGTCAGAATGGTGATTGATAGTGATATGTAAGAGTGTCTGAATTATATCTCTTTTGTCCCCTTCTTTTCTCTTACAGCTTGTGGCCAATGCTATCCTTTTTGTCAGTGTAAATTTGTATGGGGTCTTTGTGAGGATTTTGACAGAGAGGGCACAAAGAAAGGCATTCCTTCAGGCCAGGAACTGCATAGAGGACAGGCTGAAGCTGGAGGATGAAAATGAAAAACAGGTCAGTTGAAATGTGTTTTTGTTTCCCCCCTTGTCTTTCTTTGGCATCACATTGGCATATATCCTGTAGGACAAGAGTCTGATCTGTAAGGAAAAGCATCTAATTGCAAAGTGTATTTTCATTTGCAGAGCGCAGTTGCCCCACTCTTTGTTATCAACAATGAAAACACAGCAGGCATATTTAGCATAAGCTCCAGATAAAGCAGAGAAATGGGAGAATCTTCTGTTGGCCTCAAGTAAGATAACACTTAACCCAAAATGCAAATTATATTTTAATTTGTAAATTGGATTTCAGAGTCATGCTTCTTCTTGCCTTCTCTTTACTAGCATTGGTGTGTGTGTGTGTGTGTGTGTGTGTGTGTGTGTGTATTTATATATATATATATATATTGGTGGGGAGAATACTTTCAGCGGATGCTATTATGAATGAATAGTCTTGAAGCTGGTTAATTTGCAAACAAGATTGTTCAGGTAAAGCTGCAGACGAGATAACTTTAGATTATCTGTTAGTGGACCTGTTAATAGTCCACTTACTCCTTAGCCATTTGCAGCTTGAAATTTAGGCAAAGACTCTTGAGTTCCACACCACATGGAGAGAGGGGTGTTGTTAGGGGTGTTATAGGAAAATCCCTGGGCTCACTTGGATTGCCAAACAAAGACACCAGCCAAGAATAGAGGAGCAAAACAGCAGCCAGTAGGTCCGATCTTTATTCAAAAGAATGCAACAGGACTTCCACCCACCACATGGAAAGGATGTCTCCTTTTATAAGTTCCCCCTTTTACCCACAATCCCCTAGGTGAAGCATTATGCATATATCACAAATACATCATAGTTATGTCACAATCTGGAAGGGGTTTCCAGCAGAAACCTGAGCAACAGGTTTGCCCCCATCTTTTCCTTGACCTCCACCTCACGCCCATTAAGTAAAACAAAAGGTATGTACATGCTCCTGTTCTCCCGGTCATGTTAAGTACGCTCTTTTGTTCTGACTGAGTTCCCAACCCATTTTGGCTGGGTTCACCATTGTCTTTGAGATGGCCACTTGTCTGACATTCTGGGGCCAGGATGCCAGCAATTAACATCTAGGAAAGGAGCTGCTGAGTATGTGGTCTCAGGCTTCAGGGATTATGGCTGACCCTGCCCACGTCCCAGGCTCCCCCCTTCGTAGCCGTTTCCTTCCTGAACAGAACAAAGTTGGAACATCGAAGATCCTATACTGGAGCAATTTTATATGACTTTGTAAAGTTTTCCCATTGAGCCATCACATAGATACATTTATCAGTGAATTGTTACATTTGATAATGTGTAGTGGAGGCCCTTTGAATAGAGATGGGGGAGGGGACTTTGTGATGAAGTGCTTTGTGGGGACATCTGCAGGAGTGATTTGTTGATTTCGGTAGTCATGGTGTGTGTGTATGATGTCCGCTGGAGTGGCAACCCCCCCCCCCCCAACCTTTCCATAAATTCTGGTAACAGGGGTAATATAGTTCAGAAGCAGTAGAGGCAGGTGTGGGTTAAAAATGGGTGACAACTGCTCTTGGTTACATCTTACCAGAGTTTGACATGGCATTGTGTGGAGCTCTGATCATCAGCCATTGTGCAAGATCCCCAGTAGACTATTAATCCTGCCTGGTGCCTCTGCTACCCGCAATGAAAGCATTGGCAATTTAATGCATTTATTTTATTTTTAATATTTGATCTTTATTGATTTTATACAGTGAATCACAGTTATAGCTCTCCATTAGTAGTATACTTGGGGGGGGAGAGAAGAGAAAGAAAGAAAGAAAGAAAGAAAGAAAGAAAGAAAGAAAGAAAGAAAGAAAGAAAGAAAATAAGGTTTTCCCATATTGAGGCTTCCCTCCTCCCCAACCTAGGTTCTCTGTGTAACTATATCAACTGCGTATTGAACAGCATCTATTTTACAATTATCCAATGCTTCTAAGAGTTATTTCACATTGCAGAAGTCATTCAAAGCCCGCCAAAGATTTTACATGCTTACAGTGATCTTTTACATATTGTCTATATTTATCCCATTCTCTATTGAATTTTTAATCTAACTTTCCCTGTTAATCTTGCCATTTCAGTGTACTTAAATAATTTTGTATGCCATTTCATTTTTGTCGGTTTTGTCCTTTCCAACCTTGGGCTAACAACATTTTCACTACTGCGGTTGCATACATGAATAATCTCCTTAAGTCTTTTGGTAACTCTACACCTATGATCCCGAGGTGAAAGGCTTCCGGTTATTTGGGAAAGTTTAATTTAAACATTTTTTTTATCTTGTTGTAGATCATTTCCCAAAATTCCTTTATCTTTTTGCATTTTCACCACAAATGATACATAGTTCCTTCTATTTCTTTTCATTTCCAACACAAGTTGGAGCTGGTTCTGTACATTTTCGCTAGCTTACTGGGTGTCAAGTACCAGCAATAGAGCATCTTCATGTAGTTTTCTTTCAAAGTGTAACACGCAGTAAAAATTAAGTCCTCTCTCCAGAGTTTTTCCCAGGCTGACCTTTGAATGTTATACCCAAAATCTTTGGCCCATTGAATCATCACTGATTTTACTTCTTCGTCTTTCACCGACCAATCTAGCAAGATCCTATACATTTTGGAAAGCAGTTCCCCCTTACTTGGTGCTATGGTAAAATCTGGGTGCGAGGCTGCTCTGCCACCCAGCTCGTCGGACTAAGTCCGCGGGTCCCTGCGGAGGAAAATGAGCTCAGCCAGAGACAGGAGCAAACTGCAGAAGATCCAAGTTTATTGCGCAACAGGTTCAAGGCGAGATTGAACAGCGAGAAAGGGGTGACATGAACTTTTGAAACTTCCCTCCATGTCCCAGAATACAGTGCAAAATACATCCCAGTTACATCATGAATACATTAAGGAGAGGTTGGGTTACACAGGTTACATCATGAATACATTAAGGAGAGGTTGGGTTACACAGATTACAGCATGAATACATTAAGGAGAGGTTGGGTTACACCGGATTAACATATGGAGGAGGGAGGGGGGAATGTGCAGAGCTGGAGATATGTGCAGATAAGCACTTCCTGAGTACCGGTGATGAGAAGTCAATGGTCCATGTATGCATATTCTGTCACCTGGCATTGCCCGGAGGAAAGGCTTGGCAGAGTGATTTGACAGGATTAGGGTCTTGACACGTTACCTGAGGGATTATGGAGGACAGGGGAGGTGTTATGGAGTCCTAGAGAAATTGAGCAAATTGGCACGTTGATTTTCTATGAATTTTATAGATTTTAGTCCCTTTTGACATTGACAATTGGAAATAAATGGATATATTGTAGCGAAGAAGAAGGTGAAGAAGACATGCCCCCCCCTTCCATATCACTTGGTATTAACTCCTCAAATCTCGATAACTTAGTGGGGAAGTCTTTTTAAAAAATCTGCTTTGAATATATCATTCAACTGGTGATATTGTAACCAGTCAGTTAAACAGTTTCTTACCCCCCTCCATTTTAACTGGTCCTCTTCCTTAAGAAGTCCTTTATAAATTGCCCAGTCTTTGCTCATGTTCATTTTCTTTACTGAAATTGCCTCAAGCGGTGATAGCCACCAGGGCCTTTTTTGTTCTAGCAAATTCTTATATTTATTCTATACCATGTATAAAACAACAACAACAACAACAACAACAACAACAACAACAACACATGATTCAGGAACCCTCTGTGTACTTTGGCTTTTTTGTACCATAAGTACATGTGATGGGATGATGAGCTGCTTGTGCGTAAAAGCGTAGTCCCTCAGAGTCTGTGCACGTTCACAAACCTCTGTCTGTGACGGAGCCCCTCAGACATGGCTGCTCTAGTCACTTGCAGATTCCGACAGTGGTTGCTTTCGGAATCGTTTCCAGCATAAAAGCTCCTTAACGGAAACACGTCTTCTGGACTCACGGCGTGACAGTTTCCGGCGAGGCGTGGGTCTCCCTATGGGAGCTTCAGATACCTCCCCACTGTTCTCGCTGGAAGCGTCTCTGAGCCCTCCCTCCTGCTCGCATTCCCTCAGAGATCCACTCCTCCCCCGGCTGGTTCCTGCTTCAGCTGTTGAGTCTCTCCCAGCCTCCCTGAGCCCCTCCACCACCTGTTCCTCCGATGGCAGTTCCCTGACATCCACCTCCCCTCCAGGGCCCCCTTCACCCCCTCCCGTTTCCTCTCCTCTGGGAGGTGAGGAGGTAAAACCCCAAAAGGAATCTTCTTCATCTTCAGACGTCTCGAACATTTCCCTCCATCGGTCGCCGTCCCGGCTCGCTGAATCCTCCTCCTCCTCGGACTCTGTGAACCCCTCCAACTCCTCTTCTTCGTCGGTGGTGGCAAAGTATTCCCTCCGGAACCTCGCTACAGGCTGAGGCTTGCGTGGGAACCTCTGATGAAAAGTTTCTATTAAAACCTCGTCATTGACATCCTCTGCCCTGACCCAGGTGTTTTCCGACTCCGGTTCCCCTTCCCACATTACCAAATACTCTACTTGATCTCCCTTCCACCTGGAATCGAGGATCTCCGCTACATGGTAGCTTTGTTCCCTTTCCTCCATTGCTGGTCCCCGAGTGACCCTCCCTTCTCTGTCCCCTTTATACAGTGACAGCAATGACCTGTGGAAAACTGGGTGCAGCTTCATGTGGTTCGGTAACCGGAGTCTGAAAGCCACTGGGTTGACCTGTTGTGTGATTTCAAATGGGCCCAATCTTTTGGGTCTTAACTTTTTACAACCCCCTTTGAAGGGTAACCCTTGGGTTGACAGCCACACTTGGTCCCCCACCCTAATGGTTTCACCTTCTCTCCTGTGTTTGTCTGCCTGCCTCTTATATTCCTCCTTGGCCCTGTCTAAGTTAAGTTGGAGCTGGCGATGGATCGCTTCCATTTCTTCTACGAACTGTTCGGCAGCTGGAACGCTCCATCTCTCCCCCCCCCCCTGGGAAAGCCCTGGGATGGCACCCGTAATTAGCCAAAAAGGGGCTCATCCCCGTGGACACGTTCTCCGCAT